TCTCAAGCGAGAGCGAATCAAGTGAAAGAAGAAACCGAAGAAGTTGAAGATGACAAGTATGTACCGCCGGACGGACAAGGGTGTTTCTCCTTCAGGCAAAGCCTCCTCCTCCGAGCTAAAGACACCTATGCAGCTCGTTCCATTGGCAACAAGTATGAGATCATCTCCAGATGGCTCCTCACAGGACTCGCGGTGGTTCTCTCAAGGCCAAACTGGCTACTTCTTGCCAAAAAAGGGACCCTGACTTACACCCCTCAAGAGTTGCTCCAGAAATACTATCAGGGAGGATACCCGGTTGGCCTCAAAGACAAAGTAGAGCGGCCCTACGCGCTCCCAAAGCACAATGCCATCACAGAGGCGGAGTGGTGTCGCAGGGTCGGGTGGTTTTGCCACTCGCAATATTTGCAAGACATGGAGGCCCTGTATAATGAACGTACAGGATCAGCTTTTGAAGAGTTTTACAGGTCAATGGACCATACCAACCCCATCCAAGCGACAGAATGCGACCAAATCGAAGAGGAACAGAAGGAACCACCAGCACGAACCGGACAGTCAGAACCAATGCAATAAATGGTGGCGGCCATTGGCTCAAACCAGCCCTAACTACTGCTGCAACACCATCCCTCATGAATCCCAGAGACAGCGATGCAGATCAGTTGGCAGGCATTTGCCGCTGTCCCTTGAGGCTTGTCACGTTAGCAGGAAATGAAATTGAAACTACTGTCCCACTGAGCATTTACCATCATTGGGAAATGCTTGAAGACTACCTAGTAGAGCTATTGGCCAACAAGTATGGCCTTGACACCTTTGGATGTGAGTTGGCACTTCTGTCAGATGAGGCCGACAGCCCCCTCAGTGACCCCATTCATGAGAAGCTTTGGGAGAACAACCGCTACCAACTCACTGTCTGGAATAGCCTCCGCGTAATATCCTCGAAGGAACAAATCAGAAGGGAAGAATATGCGGACCGCCCCAAAGCAATCTCGGTTCCGATGAATGGAACCGGCATTCTTCCTGCCAAAGCATTCTTTGCCGTAGCGCGGCTTCGGCATGTCCAAGTTGAGGCGGGATATCATACCATTGAGCGACAGGCATGGCGATACTGCCACACGCTTACCATTGTTAAACTGCCCAGCTCTGTGGTGACAGTGTCGAATGCTGTATTTCAAGGATGTTATGCACTTACCACAGTGGTGATGCCAGGGTGCCTATTCTTAGGCGCTCGACTTTTTGCAGAATGTTGTGCTCTAGAACAGGTGGGAGTGCTTACAGTGCGCCCCTGCAGATTAGCCTGTGGCGCCACAATCTCACCCTATGCCTTTGAAGGCTGCATAAGGCTAGCGCAAATAGGTCTTCCCCGGACCAGAGCCGCTACCGGGATTCAAGAACTAACATCCCCACCAGAAGGATTGCCAACGGGGTGCTTCCATTCGTCAGGCATTCAAGACATCCACCTTTCGCAAGCAACTGAGTTTATAGGTCGTAAGGCCATTGACCTTTCACACACGCGAGTGAGAATAGTGCAAGTGCAAGTATTCTCACACTGTCGAGCCTTGGCGCAGATCACCCTGCCAAAACATCTCACAGAAATAGGCGCTGAAGCCTTTGAAGCTTGTGTTTCGCTTAGTACAATAGCACTTCCGCCGTTTGTAAGCAGCATTGGGTACCGTGCCTTTGCGGAGTGCAGCAGTCTGATATGTCTCACACAACGCAGTGACAGAGCAAGCCAGCACGGCATCCAAGTTGCAGCTAATGCCTTCGATGGGTGTCAGGCCCTAGTCGTTCCTGGAGGAATCTGTTGTTTGGCTGTTTGAGCAAGGAAAAAAAATTCAACGATCAGATGACTGCCCGTGCAGTTGTCCTATCCACTACACACAGAACAAGCTATTAGCAAATGCGAGTCACAAGCGAGTCATAAGTTGGAGCGCAAGCAAAATGTAAGTAGACGCAATCCCTTTGGGCTCGAAGAAAAGAGTGCAAAGTCATATAGAGGGGAGGCTGCCATGATTGCTGACCATATCTCAGTGTCTACTTCGCAGTGGAGTGAAGAAAGGGCACTGACTGTGCATTTGGTCTTGACCACATTAGCTGGCGATGAAGCCCAGCTAACAATTGAAATTCAGGAGTTCGACCGACTGCAAGAATTTGAAAATGCAGTCATGGAACAACTACCGGTGATAGGCGAAAGCAGCACCTTTGGGTGCGAACTAAGCTTTGTTTGTCGCAACTCGCAACAGAAGCTAGTTGACCCAATCTGGCACACGTTGCGAGATTGCAACTGCTTTACTGTTGTTGTCAGCCCCTGCTTTGAGCAAGCCGAGCATAAGGGGCAAATGCAAGGGGAAGCCAAAGCCCTGCAAGTCCCGTTCTACTATATCGATAGAGTTTTCCCGCAGGCCTTTTCGCATGTGGCAAACGTGCGGCATGTGCAAGTTGATGCAGGCTACCGTATAATAGGGGAGGGGGCTTGGCGCAACTGTCAGCACCTCCAAATTGTACATCTGGACAGCACGGTAATCAGCCTGCAAACGCAAGCCTTTCACCGCTGCTATGCATTGCGCAAAGTCATTGCACCAGGATGCAAGCAGTTTGGAGCACAGGTCTTTGAAGAGTGCTGTGCGCTTCTGCAGATTGGGAAGTGCTGCGTCAAATCAATTTCGAGCTGACGGAGCACCAGCCGAACAGCCGGACGCGATGTTTGCCGGAATGCTGCTTCATGGAAGCCGGCTTAACCGCATTGACCCTACCTCCAGAGTTTAATTGGATGGGGCCGAGTGCCTGCGAACGGTGTATGCAGCTGCAATTAGTAGATCTCTCACGAACTGAAATCATAGAAATCATGGGAGGTACCTTTGCACACTGCAAACACTTGCAAACATTAAAACTCCCTGGAGCACTGAGGATGATTCGACAGGAAGCCTTCCTCAAATGAGAGGTGCACGTGCCTCCCACATTGCTCTATATTGCACGACGAGCTTTTGCGGGGTGCACACAGCTCTGTCGCTTTCGGAGAAATGGCCAAAGTGTGACCTGGCGGGGGGCAGCTGACCAACACCCGTGTGCTGGTCCTGTACGTACCAGCCAATGACACAGTGCTAGCTGCCTCGTCGACACTGAGTAGTTAGCCAGTCCCAGCCTGCTACCCGTGTAGTGGTTCTGGATGAGTATAGTGTACAGAATTAGGAAAACGGCGTCTCACCCTGTTTCACCTCCTAACTTAGCATCGTAGTTCATGGGGCACATGCATGGTTTGGCCGCTCCTGATGGCCGCGGTGGAAAGAGGCTGATAGAAGAAGAAAAGCAACACAAGGTGCAGTAATGGTCCAGGATGACTGCCCACACCTGGAGCATGTCACGGCGCACGCTCTATATCAAGCCCTGTGTGCTTGACTTGCCTGACATGCTCTGATTGATCCTCCCCCTCTGGGGGAGGAATGGGAGCCACCTCTCCCTTGCCACCTCTTTTGAACCATTTCGGTGACCTCGCACTGTCCTTCATCCTCGGCTTTTTGGAAATACCGAGCTGAGTGACCGTGGTTTTCCCTTGACGGCGCCTCCTTGGTTCCGCATTCGTGGCTACCTGCTGGCAAAAAAGCAAATCGTGACGAATGGACCCTGGTCAAAGGGCCATTCCCTCACTAACAATTCGGATCTATTTGATGCACACTTTCACTGGTGGTAAGAGCACAGTAGCAATGCTGCAATTTTGGACTGTGCCATCCTTCCCATCTTTTTCATCCTTGCCTTTTTGGCGGTGCTACGGCACTCACAGGGTGATAAATGGTTAATCAGTACTTGCAACAGCACATGCAACCGTTTGCTCGCTGGGCTCTAATGCCCCTGATTCGATTGCACCTTGCTCCGCTTCATGAAGAACAAGAAGTACTGAGCGTTTTGCGGAATTCATCGCCCCTGTCTCACCTTCTTCATGCCTTCTTGGCTCTCGGAGCTGCGCTACAGGTTGCACTCGGCTTGGGTCTTGTTGTGTTGTTTTTTGGTGGGTTTTGGGTTGCTTTGGTCCTTTCGTGTTATGTGCAACCTGTCTAGTAACTCCTTCTTAACTCGACTAAGGTGACTTGTGCATGACCTGCACACACAGCGCCTCCACTCGTGCAAAAAAAAGTCTCGTACCGTTCCTTTTTCGAAGCTCTGGTGCCTCGCTCGCTGGAGCTCAGTCCCAGCGATCTTGAGGCGCTGATCTCATCATCCCAACGCCCATCACGCGGAAGCGGATCGACGATGGCAGAAGAGACACCGAAAAGGATGGACTGTCGGAGTGAAGATCCAGAGACTTTTTGGATTTTCAGATCAACCAGGATAGATATGATAGATGTTGATGGGAAAAGAACACATTTTAGAGTTGTTGTGATGTCTCAAGCAAAGCAAGAGAAAAGCAAAGCCAAAGGCCCTGGACCTGGACATTCAATATCTAAAAAGCAGTTGATGTTGATGTTGATGGTTCAAAAGTGGGCGCTGCCTAACATGAGTGTAGGCCTACTTGTAGGCTGGTAGTGTTAGAGCCTTCACGAAGCCAGGGAGCTTGTCATGGATATGGGCCCAAACAAATTGTCATTGAGAACGTGGGCAACCTGCATCAACCATTTTCGGCAGAGTGACGGCAGAGGGAGAAAATCATTGAAAGAGTTGCGCTGGTTTCTTGTCGGTAGGTGTTGGCCTGGGAGGGGGCCTTTTGAAGACACTTTGTACTAGGCTCTCAGCAGTTGTTTGCGGGGTCATGGTGTCTTGGTTTATCTTGTTGGTGCTGGTGGATTGATCCATTGATGAAATTTATTTATTGCAAGTGATTGCGCAAAAGAAGCTTTGCACATGTTGGTCAAATTTGGCAAGTTCTATATTCGATGGAAGACTTGCATATTTGGATGCTGGCCCGGGACGGTTGAGACTTGTTTGTACGTTAGTGTTCGCGTTTTTCGTGTTTGCCAAGACTCTCTATCTAGGTTTGTTTCCGCATTCTTACGGGCTCAAAGCTAAAAGCAAACAGAAGTTCTGCATGACGAATTGTTCGGAAGGAAAACATTAACTAAATGCTTCTATATTTGAGAAGCGGTGCACTGCTGCAGTTGTCAATCGTCAACCGTGCATGCAAAACACTAGCGCTACTTTTTTTTTTTTAACGTGCACTTTGACGCCCAATCGTTTAACACAACGTGCGAGCCTCGAACCAGCGCCGAAAGGCACAACTAAAATGTTGAATCTGATTGGAATTCTCATGGTGGTGTTGGCACCAACCAGTGCTGTGTTGTTGATGTTGATTATTTTTTCGCATCCGGGTTCCTCAGGAATGACATGTGTGGTGACCTCGCATTCAGAAGACTCGATCTCGGGCTTGATCAAGCGCGTGCAGAAGTTGGAGGTGTGGAAATCGTTTCAACCTTCTTTTTACTTGATTATATAATTGTACTGAATGGACTGTGATTGGTCCAGAACCATTGAGTTTGTGAGTTTCCATCATTGGTTCTGGTGTCACTAGTCAGGAAGAATAACAGACCTTGTTTGAGTGTCAAGTCCCAGGCAGGGTTTGTCAGCATGGGTCAAGAGCTCACCCTCTTGCGGGAGTGGTTGACCTCCAAGAGCCGCAACCACTTTGAGCCGCCTTGCCGCCCCTTGGATCAAGAGGATTTGAAGATGCTGGTTCGTTTCAACATGGAGAGGCGTTCCCAGCCCAAAGGTTTCGGTTGGGGTTTCTGTGTGAGGGGTTGGGGTTGTGAAGCGTTTGATGTCTCGACATGCTTGATAAGCGATGTTCAAATCATTGATTCCTTTTGGAACCACTCAGGTCAAGATGCCCCGCACAAGACGGAGGAACTGTGCTCAGAGTTTTTTCCCCAGCAGTGAGAAACAACGCCTGGGTCTGACCAAGGCTCTGGATGATGCCTTGGACCCGGGCCTTCTTTTGCCCATTGTACAGTACCACAGCAGCAGACAAAAGGAATTTTTGAGTTACAGTTGAAATGACCGACGTCCGAATCTGCAAACCGCGATCTTTCAGGTTCTCTGGGCTGCCTTCAGTCTACGCGCTTGAGAGAGCTTCGCCTCAGGCGGACAGTTGGATTTGGATTCCAAAGACCTCCCTGATCCGATGTCCAATGATTTTTCACTCAGTAGGAGGGTATGCTCTTCTCCAAGGTTGAATTGGAGCAGTGGGTGATCGTTTCACTGAAGCAACTGTCAGGTCTTTGCTGCCTTGTCGCGCCTGGTGAACCCCATCAAAGCCAGTTTCATGAAGCTCTACATTTGCGGAGGGTGCCAAAGAAGCACCAGCCTGCTCAGAGGTGCATTGATTCATGTGGTTTGAGAGGGGTTCAGGAAATGGCCTGATAGGGCAGGACTTGTTGCTTGGTTCCCCAGTGGGCACAGGTGCCAATCAGCAAATGAGCAACAGGTTATACTTCTCCAGTGCATCCAGCTTGCTGCCACATATCGTATGCATCTAAAAGCACCCGCGTTAGTAAGTTCCCTTGGTCTTATGATGTCTTATGTTTGCAGGGAGAATGTCTTATGTGGTTCGTTTTTGGATGAGATATGATTTCACCAGCATGATGTGACAACGCAGAACGACCTTCGTTGCAGAGGTGGCGCCAGGCCTGAAAAGATGGCGAGCACCGTGCGGTCCTTTGACCGGTGGAGCCGTGCGGTCTTCGCCGTCCTCGAAAACGCCGAACATGGAGCAACGTTGCTTGTGGAGTTTCTTTTGGATGGTAGTGAGGAGAAAAGCTGCAGCCTATCCCTGCATGGCAGACGACGGCAACGAACCAAACATGAGAAGTCTCGAAACACCTGCAAGCGGTCTGCCGAGACCTTGAGGCAAAAGACAAGGCCTAAAGTTGACAAAAGTTAACAATTTAAGCTTGCGGGACATTAACGTATGATGAACTTGTCTGTGGAGTGGGTGAAAAGGGTTTGGACTGAACAAGACAGTTTTGCACATTGGCCAAAACAGAAAGTTGTCTTCTCCAGACTTCAGCTATTGCATCTTTGGTATTCAGGTAGAACGCTTGGACCTGGGCGCTGCACAGAGCTGGCTCAGCTCCTGGGAGGTCCGAAGGGGAGATCTGAAAGAGATTCCTGCCTGGAAAAGGTTGGGAGGATAAACCCAGGTGAAGGAACATGGATACTGACAGGGGCGAGTTGGAAAATGATGGTTCCCTGTTAGGGAGATTGGCAGTTTCCATGTAGGTCTTTGAAGATGGTAAGATCCCAACTTACTTTGCAGGAATCTGGAGTTGGAGAATTGGAGAGGGTAGAGCAAGTGGTGTCAATACTTTTCAACTTTTCAATTTCTATTCTTCCGCACCCCAACGGCGAGAGCTCTTGAGCCACTTGAGCCGTAGTGAAAGAGTCGTGAGCCGTAGGGAACCTGGAAGTTTACCTGTCCGAAGTGGACGGTCTCACGAGAAGAGCTGCGAAGAGAGCGTGGAAATGGTTTCCCTTGTAGTGATGTTTTTTTGTCATCATGATCATGAAAGACTGGGGGAAGACAGGAACGTCAACCAGGTGGCCCAGGTACTTGCCTAATGAAGGCCATGCACCTATTTGTTGTAGAGTTGCAGCTTGCAGCCTCACATCTTCCCAGGTTGTTTCAGTCAGTTTCTGTGCAGGCCGTTGCCCCCATGCCGGAAGCGCGCTCCGATGCCAGTGCGGTAGTGCTTCAGGGCTACCTGTACATTTGTGGTGGCCAGGATCATTGGATGCTTGCAGAGGTGAATGTTTGACGGGGGGGCTCTAACAGCTCAGACAATTCCTTTTTGCAGGTTTGTCCTGAGTCTTGAGAAGCATCCTTCCAACCCACACATGGAGTACAGGGACACTAACTACAATGAAGTACCTCTGAGTCACAGCTTTATGTACACCTCAAGGTTGATGATCCCAGAACCTGTTTGATGGTTTTTGCAGGATGGGTCAAACGTGCTGACCAGTGCTGCTCGCTTTCATCCTAGCACGCTCGAGTGGGAGGCCGCTTGGAGATTCAGAAAAAACAGAACCGTTCGGGGCACAAGGAAAAGCAGTGGGTGCCTCCACAACCGTTGGGGCCTCCGTTTCAAAGCACTTGGGGCATGGTGGCACCTGGAAAACAAGCAGTTGTCCAAGCCCTCCATAGGCGTGAACGGAACGGCGTCCGATGCTTGGATCACAGGTCTTACCATGCCTGGCGGAAGGTCGCCGAGAAGCAGCTGGACGGCTGACCGCCGAAAAATCACTTGAACGCATTAGCCGTGGAAGGGCGCTTCTGTAGGTCAGGCAGCAGACCACTTGGATTGTGTGTTTGGAGAGTGTATAGTCTGTGAAATTCTTCAAAGCTTGACTGCGTGCAGGAGCAGCTCTTCATGGTTGTGTCTATCTTTGTGGCGGTTCCAATACTTGTGCCTTCACTGAAGAACCCCACCCAAATCAGTTTGTGCAAACATAGCTCCTGCTGCAGGCCTTCATCAAAGACTTACTTCGGTGGGGTTTATGTGTGTTGAATTGTGTTGACACTTGAATAAGTTTTTGTATTTGTAGGTTCGTTGGAATGCCTTGGTTTGTTGGCATTGTTGGCATTGAAGAAACAGTATCTCCACTTTGAAGTCTCTCAAAAGGAGGAAAACGATCAGCTTTGTGCTCCATCTGGGGATGCCATCCGGTTGGTTGGCCCGACACCCCTCCAGTCCGAACGGATGGGGATCCATCCCGAAAAACGCCTCAGGTGGTCCATTGAGCTCAGGGGAGCGCTTCAATCCGGCCCTGCACGCCTGGGAGACCGTGCGGCCCATGTTCCGACAGCGCTCAGGCCGGGGGCGAAGGGGGGACGCGCGGCGCGGCGGGGGGGGACACGCGAAGGGAACGCACCGTGCACGGAGGGATGCGGGGGTGTGGCGTCCAAGGTGTGGGTGGGAAGGTGAGAGCCACGTGGTGGCAAGGGAGTCGAGCGTCGATGGTTTGGCAGTCTTCTGAAGTCTTCCAAGTGCAGGTGCTGTCAGTGCCGTGATGGGTGGTGCCTTGTGCGTAGCGGGTGGCGGCGATGGCCAACAACCGCTAAGCCCAGACCTTGGTAGGCATGTGTCATTGATGTGGCCAACAACTCAGGTCGGGTATTGATTCACAGCATGAAATCCATGGTGCACCTTGTTTAGCTGGATTGACGCGCACCTAGCCCTTCGAGGCTCCGCCGAGCGGCTGGTGGGGGATGCTTGGGAGGCGCGCGGAGTGCAGCGCCAGCTGCTGCGATGGCCGAAGGGGTAGGGTGAACCGGTCCAAGTGCTCCATTGGTGCAGACAGTTTGGGGGGTCACCCCAGATGAAGGAAGAGGTTTCACCAGCCAAATGGGGGGATATTTCTTAACCAACTGTCTACATGGTGGGCTTTTGCCGACAGCTTCAAGCAAGACTTTGGGTCATTTTGGATAGCCAAAGGATTGGGATTGGTAGATCATTCACTGCCATTCACAATGGGCTGCGATCTGTGTCCTTGCCGATTCGTATGTAGACGTGTGGTCCTTTTTGTACGGTGGAGCCAATGACATAGGGAACCAGCCACTTGCCAACATTGGTTGAGGCTGCCCTTGATATGCCACGGGTTGGAACGTCAACCAGCTGCAAAATCCCGTGTCAAAGCTCCTGTCCTGAGCCAAGCACAGCACGGAGGTCCTGCCGTCCATGTCCTGCCGGCGGATCCGCGCTGCGGCGGCTGTGTTGCAAAATCGGTGGCCCTGGGCTGAGATGCGAGCTCCAGAAGTCCCTGCATCATCATATCAGTCATGAGTTGTCGCCCCAACATAGCTCCTGGCGGGCTTGAAACTTGGGCATTTGGAGGCTTGTCTGCGGTGGTGGAGACGGGCGCTATGTGTCATCCTCAGCAACTGGTCGCACTCTGTAAAGATTGTCAATGACGGCCAGCGTTTCCACATTTTGGCCTTCAGCGGCTTCATGCCGCTTCCTGTCTTCTCATGAATTGAGTCCACCTGGAAGTTGAAGGGGATTCCCTCCCTGAAACAATCATGGAAGTGGAATGATACACCTGTTCATAGAGGAATTCAGTCTTCCAAGGAGCCTTGTTCCACTTCCATCTTTGTAGGATGGAGGGTGTGTGTATCTTTTTAAAGTAAAGCTTTACCTCCCTCAAGTTCCAACCGAAGCCTCGGTGACAGCTGTGACCGGAGTGCAGGTCCTGAACTCTGCCGAGCTCTTGATGGCTCCAACGTCACGCTGGGAGCTGCTAAAGCCCATGAACAGCCCGCGTGGCGCTGCCGTGGTTTGGTTCGCGGTTGCGAGGGCCGTGACGAATACGTGTGTCGCTCCGCCGTGGAGGCGTTCGAATACCGTGTGGTGTGGAAGAGGCCGCTATGAGGTCAGGGTTCAAAGAGACGCAAAGATCGCAAAGGACGTGCGACCGAGACTCGGCGGCGAAGGCGGTTCGAAGCGAATGGGATCGTTTGGCAGCCAGGCTGGTCCAGCGTTGCGGGGGTCATGGCTGGATGCCTCTATGTTCCTTGGAATGGCATTTGGGTGTTTGTGCAAGTGCCTGGAGATTTCGACTGTACAAAGAAAGCATCAGTTGCAATCAGCAGCTAGGGCCAGGGTTAGGGATGGGTGCCTATGCGCGCCAAGTTGGACGTGCGATTTGTTAAAGGCGTCTTGTGAGTCAGACCAGCCCAGGTTTGTGGTGGCGGAGATGGAGAATCTGCCCCTCAGCACAACTTCAGACTGTCGATATCATGATGACATTGATGATATTGATGTTTGTGCTCAGGCGTTTGGTTGTTTTTAAATCATTTCTGCGGATTTATTGTCTGCCTGTTGGGGCCACTTGGCTGCCAAGGTTCTCCAGTCAGCAGAGCGTTTTAACCCAATGACTGGAGTATGGGAGGAGCAACAAAGCCGAAAGTCGTGCAACTGTGTTGCAGGTTGCGATGGTTTGGTCCATTGCGGTGAAACGATCACCCCCTCTGCGTCCAAGCCTAAGAAACTACTCAGCAGTAGCTCTATCTTCCCTCGGGGCCAAGAATAAACAATCAATGAAGATTTCAGGGAGTGTGCGTGGTAACTCAGAGTGAAGGGCTCTGATGGCTCTCGCAGGAGCTTCCACCCATGAGCTGCCCACGCTGGGGCGCTACAGCAGTGGTGGCAGATGGCCTGTACGTGTTGGGAGGCAGCACAATGGGTTTCTCAAGTCGAGGGGCATTGTGGGGTGGTCGATCAGGTCGATCAGGTCGATACAGCCTTTCAACGTGCATGGCTTCTGGTGCCCCGCGGTATGGTGCACAGTGAAGCTTCACGTTCGCCTCGACCGGTGCCCCTTCCGGTCCACCGGGGCGTTCCGGTGCAGGAAGCCACAAGTTCGGAGCTCTCGGCACGGCCGAGCGCTTGGGTCCCACCTCCGAGGTCCGGGGGCCCGGAGACGACGAAGCCGGGGGAACGAAGGTGGGGGATGACACCGGGGCACCATCACCATATGGCATGGAAGAAGAGATGTATGAAGAAGGGTACGGGATGGTACGGGTTTTGGATGCCAATGGCCGAAATAGCTGGTGTTAGTCATGCTGAAGTGCCGGACAAGAGAGAGATAAGAGTCTGAGAGGCATTTCATTTGATGACCTTCGAGGGGGTTTGTGAATTTTGCAAGCCTGACCGTGGAGATCCGCCCGAATGAATCGCCGATTCGACTTGATGGCTTTGAGAAATCTAGATGCATTGATTTGATCAGCCATGGACTGAAGCAAGCCGCCAGCAGCCATATGTATATATAGGCAGGCATACATTTCGCGCAAAGACAGATGCCAGGACAGAACGCAGACACGATGAATTACAAACGTTCTTGGCCATGCCGATTTGCAGTCTTCCCTGACCAGGCCTTGGAACAAGTGGTTCAAATGACAAAACAGGGCTTCCAGGTGCCTCTCTTTGTCGTGTCCCAATGGCCGATGTTGCCGCTTTGCGGCTGGAGTTGCAGGAGTGCCATGCTGGGATGCTGCAAGTGACTTTGACTTACGAACGCCAAGGTGGCAAGGACGAACTCAACTGATTCATTTGGGCCCTTCACTCAATCCTATTCCTCCACGCTTTCTCCCAAAGCGGAGTGCTCCGAGCTCTCGGTGAAGCTCCGTGTTTTCGTCGAGGAAGCGGAGGCCGAGCTGGAGCTGAAGGATGCTGAGCTCCGGGCCTGCTGTCCGCGCGTCTCGGGCGAGATTGGCTGTGGAGATGTCGGGAGATTTGCTGGGAGGTGGTGCTGTCAAGCAAGTTGGAAGGTGACCGAGGGCTGTGGAGATCTCACTTTGCGAAGATTGGCAGGCATGCTGATGTCCAGGAAACCACTGTTGTGGTAATTGACCCAATGTTTTCTGGGTTTTCTGTGGGACATTTCCATAGGCTAGTGAAGCACACCGTTAGTTGCCGATTGCCAAATTGGCAGAGGTGAACCATGTATCACTACGATTCAATCATGACTGCAGCTATGCTACATGTACAGATGCAATGTTTCCAGAAGAACCATACAAGCCAGATGAAGCCAGGGAGATGCCATTCTGTACGAATTCTGCTACACTGTTATCATAAGCTTGTCCTGATCTGTGACCCCCGTCCACCGGGGCATGTGTATCAAAAAGAAATTAATTACTGAATCAAAAAAAAATTATTTACGTAACCAACAACAAATTAATTAACTAATCAAAAAATAATTATTTTCCTTTCCCGTCTCTTGTATGCTTGCTCCTGGTCCACATGGTCGTCCTGGTCCCCTTGGTCCCCTGGTCCCCTTGGTCCCCTGGTCCCCTTGGTCCTCTGGTCCCCTTGGTCCCCTGGTCCCCTTGGTCCCTGGTCACCTCGTCGAAGGGAAGGGAAGGGAAGGAAGAAAAGAAGGGATCCAGGTAGGAGGCCGGCGCCTCGTCTGTACACGCGAAAAGTGACTCATCTGTACACGCGAATGATATACCTCGTCTGTACACGGGGATGCGCTGCTTCAAACTCACTCTCGCCCTCTCACTCACTCACTCACTCTCACTCACTCACTCTCACTCACTCACTCACTCACTCTCACTCACTCACTCTCACTCACTCTCACTCACTTTCACTCACTCTCACTCACTCACTCACTCACCCTTTTGTCCTTTTGTGGGCAGGGTGAAATTTCGAGAAGGAAGTGGCTATGCCAAGTTCACTCACCCTTTTGTGGGCCATGCAGG